AAAGAGTCTGTGTGGTACATTATGTATGCAAAATGTCAGTTTTTGGCTGTAAATGACCAATTTTGCAGCGTGTTCGGATTTCTGAATTTAATTGGGGCATTTGTGGACCAATCCCCATTAGACTTAAGCTCTTTGCAATGAAATGTAGGCCTCCAAAAAAATCCGAGGTGGTCAGCTAGCCTATACCTCTCAAAGTGCAGGGAGTGCTCATTTGGAGTTTGCAAGTAGTGAAACACTAACTTAGTCAAATATCAATAACAGCATAGTGAGCACTTTGAGAGGTATAGGCTAGCAGACCACTTCGAATTTTTTTTTGACGTTCACCTTTTGATGCATAGAGCTTATTCCTGGCGGGGAATGGTCCACAAATACCTCAATTATATTCAGAAATTCAAAGACGTTGCAGAATTGGCCATTTGCAGCCAAAAACCGATGTTTTGCATTTTTAATTTATCACACAGACTAGATATGACATAGTGGATGACCCAAAAACATTACATATTGTGTATCCTAGCTCTGTACCACACCAAACCATGATCACACTGCATTTGACAGAGATCTGGACCATATACACCCCCAATACCACATGTGTACCTGCTCTCCTATCGAAAACATGGTTTTTCTTTTCCACTATGCACCAGCGGCAGCTCTTGTGCTTGATTAATGTTTATATACATTTAAACTAAATCACCGCGACAAGAACGGTACCAAAAACGCGTAAATTGGTGTTTCTGTGATTATACTGTGGCCCAATATGTGTTACGACCGGGCTTAAGCTAGGCTTAAGGGCGGCGTCGGTTTCGTGAAGCGGGGAACGATTGAGTCGTTTGGCGCCGTCGGCTTGGGCGATCAGCGAGGGGCTTCGGAGGTTCCGGATCCGGGGTTCTGGCTCGGTTCGTCTAGACGCGGTGTCCGGTCTAGGATCGAGTTCGTTCAGATGAGGCGTCCTCTTCTGAGGCAGGCGTCCTGCTAGAGCTGATGTGGATTCGAGGTTCTGATGGTAAAGCTCTTCAGTAGTCGAGATTCGAGGGGTATCGTCTTGAGGTCGCACAAGACAATATCGAGAATTCTGGTGAATTCAACTGAAACACTGTAGGTACGATTCAAGTGAACAGGTTGGAGAATCTCGACTACCAAGGTCCGATATTTATACTAATACAAGTCCGTGTGAATCGCCACGTCATCTAGGTCCGCCACATCAGCCTAAGAGTTCGTCTGCTCCGCCGAGCCGGAGTCAAGCCACGCCAAGATAGTCTGTGTCCGACAGAAGTAACGTGTCCGCAGTCCTCCTACGTGTCCAGTCAACTATCGTATGTGTCCGAGGTAAGTATACGTGTCCATAAGAGAAAGAGATATATTTGTAGAAAGGTTTTTAAAGGGATTTTAGTGAGAAAGGATCAAGCCGAAGTCCGGGTGTCTGTCGCCTTACTAGGAACGCGGTAAAGGAAAAGAAAAGGAAAAGATACACGAAGTAACAAAGAAGAAAAAGTGTCCATAACAATATGCTGTTTTACCCCCTCAGCGCTCCACAATTGGTGCAGGAGAATTTTGACTGAGGTTGCACCGTAGATCGTCTTCTCAAGGGTCAAACTACATTGTCCAATCATAATCACAACATCACCAACCATTCTAACTGCTGCAGTACCCCTCGGGTAAGACATTCTCCTCCTCCCTCCTTGACGCGGCACCACTATCAAGGCCATGGTCACGGTTTTTGTGTCAGGTGTGGCTTTCATAATTAAGTAGTGATGTATGTCTACCTATGACAGCAGAAACCAAGTCAATTGAACCTTTATATCACTGGTTCTGGCCTACCAAACCCCTCCAGCCTCGGTATGGCAATATTGTCCTGACCGCTTACACTATAACTTTAGAACAAATAAACCGATTCCTTTGAGAATTGATTCCTATCATCCTGTATATTTCTAAATATTTGTCAAATAGACAGAACTCCCAAAATTGGCCTCCTTCATCTCGCTAAATCGCATTGCCAATTTCCATTTTATATACTGACAGGAGATGAGGATGTCTCCAGACAAGATGATGCACAGACAGAAAGCAATTTGCGAGATGTGAGGAAGTCGTGTCCAGGCGAG